CTTAGATCAGAGCTTTGAAGCACTGAGAAGGCACAAGAAACATGCTGATTCTGCACAATTGGGTAAATAACTTGCTAATGTTTTTCGGACAAAGAAAATCTTCTTGTGGCTGACAATGATGTTCTATCTGTGGTTTAGTGCTAGATGATGAATTACAACCTCAGGATTCATTGCCTTCCAAGTCATCTAATGACCATGAAGGAGATGCTTCAGAGCAAAGGCCAGAAAGCACTCTTGCTGATGGGAATAAACCCGCAGACGTACCAGATGCAAGTGGAGACGCATGCCTAGATGTTACAATGTCAGATGCAGAAATGTCCCGTAAAATCGAGTCCGTGAAGAAGCAATTTGTGAAGCAGACAAAGGACTACGACATTCCTCAGCTAGAAAGATTATACACTCGCATCATGAAGGGTGTTTTCGAAACAAAAACTGGTGTGACAAATGAAGATCTCAAGACTTCAATTTTGAGTTTCTTGTTAAAATTTGCAAAAGGATGCGTCGAAGTTTTAGTATAAACATGAATTTTTATTTTATTTTATTTTAATTTTTAGTTCCAACAATTTATTGATCCGCTCATACGATGTCAACGAATTTGCTGCATCTATTGTGCTACACAGGCAAAAGAAAAGAAAATTATAGTCTTATTTCTTGCCCCCTCTTCTGCTCTTATGCATTTCACTCATTAATTATTGGGACATGAACAATTGATCTAAAGGAGCTACCAATTCACATTTGATCAAATGATTTGGAATTGAAAAGACATCATTACAAAATCGAATCGAAGGTCAAGTTCAGAATGGGACTCGACCCAAAGGAGGGCGGGTTACAGAGAAGGACTCGAATCTAGTTACAAAGTTCGCGAGCAATTCCCAAACGCGAATTAGCTGTGTCAAACAAAATCCTCAGGTTCTGCTGCTGCAAATTGGCTATAACATTCAATACAGAGTTCACATTTGCTGGTGCTGCTGCCATTGCCAAACATGCCAAAGGACTTGCACTACTATGAATCAAACTGTTCTCCATTGGCAACACCAAATCCATCCCTGTAAAGTGAAGTATAATAACTGGTGCCACTGCTTCATTTGTTGATGCAAAACATGTGTCAAATGCACCCAATGAGGTAAATGGTCCTTTCACTTGATTCCTAAATTCATCCCTAATTGCATTGTAAATTGGCTCAACGAATCGGGTAATAACCGTACCCGAGTCGATTATGGTGCCCGCACCGGTATTCGGGTCAAACGCTAGAAGCTCAGGAGCTATTGGGACCAGGACGCGACCCACACTTATGCTGGTTAGGTTCACGTAGTACAGAGAGGGTCGGTGTGGGTTCTTAAGTAGTGGGGTGGTTCTAATGTTCTTGGGTTGGCCCAATGGACCGAGTTTGAGTGATCCAGAGAAATAATAAGATTTGAAACTTGGCAAACAGTATGAGAATACACCAGAGTAGAGTGACATGGATTGTGAGAGTAGAGACATGGAGCCCCTACCCAAGCCCAATAACCCTTGCGGTGGGATTGAGCTCCCGGACACTGCACTGATGCAACCGAATGAATAATTTGGTATAACATCAGTACCTAGTCTAAGTGAATCACGAGACAACATGGCGTAGAACGATGAAGCTCCACCATAGGATTGGTTAAAAAAGCAAGCACCCGGTGCACCAGCAGCGGGGCAAGATTGTCCCTTGACCTGTGTGCATTCGGGTACAGAGCAATCCGTCGACCCGTAAGTCGACGAGGTATTGGGAGTAAATACAGTAGAGGTACAGCCAGTACAGCCACTGCATGGAACCCATGCAATGTCGCTACTGGTATCCAAGACCATAAACATGAGCTGGCCCGGGGTACCGATTTTAGCCCGAACAACATAGTTACCAATGCTGAATACTTGTTGGCCCGAAGCAATAGGGGCTGAATTGGGCTTTTGGGCTACTAAACTGGACAAGTAAGAAAGTCTTTGTGGATCTTTAGAGGCCATGTTGATAACAGTGTTTTCCCAAGAAGTTGGTTTTGGTGTGTTGAAAGGTGAGCATTTGCCATAAATGGGAATGACTGAAAGTTGTTCATTAGATGGACATGAATCAAAAGCTAAAGTTTTTGTTGTTGAAAGAAGAGTGATGAAGAGGAATGTAGCAATGGCCAAAGCCATGGTGTGTTTTTTTCTTATCTTAACAGGGCTAGACTTCCCTAGAAAAGATAAAGAATTTTGGTGAGAATTTATGTCAAACATGAAAGAAACAAGAGTATATATAGGACACCTCCAAGCCCTTCTTATCTCACCCCCATGCAGATGTGAGTTGGGGTGGTAGGCAACACAAAGTAGAAATTGAAGAGGATAGAGTATACGCAGATTCTCGATTCAAGGAAAAATAATCCAAAGCAATCCAGAAAATAAGTACCGAAAATATAAGAAACAACATATACTAATAGTAACAGATTAGATACTACAACAAAATAATTAATACGATGAGTGGGGTACATACAAGAAATAACAAATAATAACATAAATTAAAGGACACGAAACTACAAGCGCAATATTATGACACCTACTAACCTTCAATCTTAATCTGTATCTTCCACTTCCTCCTATCTAAGATCATGTCCTGGATAAGCTGAAATTGTGTCATGTCTTGTCTAATCACATCTCCGCAATATTTTTTGATAGGCACAAGCGAATTTAGAATGAGTATCATTTTTTATGTATACATTTTATTTTTGTATTTGTATATATGTATATATATACTCAAAAGCAATGAATTTAGTTGAACACACAAAACTATCCCTAGATCCATTTCTGATTATATGTATGGAAGGGCGGAAGTAAAAGTCTAGACACGGATTCAATTCATTTGAATTCAATATTTTTTGCTCAAAATAATGTATTTATGTTAAGGAATTCATTGAATATGTACAAATATTAAATAAAAACTCAGTTATTATCAACATTAATAATCACGATTCTAAAAAATTCAGTATCCATAAAGCTGAAATCATGACTTCTCCTTGATATATAGAAAAGGGTGTGATATTACTAGTGAGTGTCCAACATTTCACGTGAGCTTTTGATACATATAATTGATAATAATAATAATTATAGAGAAGCCAAAATGGAGTAAGGAAAAGTCATACAAAGCTACAGAAAAGGGTAACAAAAGAAGACAAATGTAAAGGATACAGCGAAGCTCCAATGCTTCTGATTTATGTCGTTATTAGCCACTCTTACTTATTTTAACTCCAATTTGTCATTTGATAATATCATCGTCCATACATATTTTATCTATCAGTAACAGTCTCTCTACCTCCACAAAGGTCGGGATAAGATCTACATACATATTACATACTATCCTCCTTGTGCCAACTTGTGATATTGCACTACATATTCATTCATACACATTTTATCTAATTTACCACTTGACAAATGCATGTTAGCACGAATTCAAATTAAGTCAGGTCAATAAATTTCGAATACTTCGAACAAAAATCTAAGTGTGGGGATTGATATTTTGGGTGTGTGAAGTGTTGAACAGAAGAGGCTCGTGAACCTTAGTTGGAAGACAAGTAGTGTTTTTTTGTCCATAAGCAAAAAAGATGCGGTGGTCACGAGGTTTCTTAATTATTAGCTAATCCATGTCATTAGTAATATTAGAAAACTAATCACATATGTAATAATGCACCATTTTTCTACTTCATTAAGATCTCTTGGACCTTTAACTATTAATATTTTATTATTTAGAGCTTAAATTAAAGATATACACATGCATCCTACGTAAAATTAAATTGGTTTATAAGATCCAAAAGAATAATTAACTTGACTTAGTGTTTCTTGAGGGGACCAACAAGTAATTATTTGTCTTTTACATCTTGAATCTCCACAGAGATTTTCCAAATATCTCTAAGATTATAAAGACTTTGAAATTCGATATATCGAGAAACTCATCTTTTATCTAGCCAAAGAATCTCATTATTTGAATGTAGATACTGTATTTGTAATGCTTGTTTCTTCATCTTTCAATAACTCACTAGTTAGTAAGTACAATGGATGATTCATATATATAAATTTTATCCAAATATCTCTAAGATATATTCAAAGTTATTGTAGGGTGATGCAAGATCTGAAATCTCCATAGAACTAAGCATATTGCCCTATAAAACATCTAATCTTAGACAGGAGAAAAGCATTATTTTACAATAAAAGGCATCTTCTTTTGGGGAATGACATTGATTGTTTTTTGTACAAAATGGAAAGCAAAGGCCAAAAACTCAAGACAAATCAGCCTTCTGTAATGACTCAGTGGCGGCTCTTCCCCTTTGAAAAAAAAGCAACTGCCTTAGGCCCCAAAATTTGAGGGGCCTCATTTAAAAATAAATAAATATGTTATACATATTTTTTTTTAAAAAATATTGAGTATTATTTGTAAAAAATATAGACTTTTCATAAAAGAGCAAAGAAGTAATAGAAGTTTGATAAATTATGAGTATTATGTCTCAAGAAAGATTAAATAATTAGCTATAATAAACTTCATAAAAAAATATATTCGAATTTAAGGCCTCCATTCAAATTTGACTTTAGGCCACTGATTTATTAGAGCCGCCCCTGTGTAATGTCAAACTTTTTTTTCAATGATTAGGAGCTTAGCAGGGTCCACTGTGTTCACGAGACTCCTGGCGGAGTCAAAATATGAAGAAGTAAACACACAACGTCAAATCCAGGTATAAATAGTGTAATTTTCAGTCACCCTCTCTGGCTTCGCCCCTGGTCCCAACTCCCAACAATATGTGGGATTGCCAGTTGAAGGCCAGAAGGAGTGAAGGACCACCAGACTCAGATTTAACAAAAAAACAGTAAATCAGTTTCTCTTGGCTTCATCTGGTCATTTTCAATAAAAATGCACACTTGCAAGAATCCAATGAACAAAGAATAAAAAACATTGATGCATTATAGTGTAATTACAATAAAATGCAAGCTCTATTATCAAATACATTACGCGATTACATTGACACCCTTCACATCTTCACAGAAAGTTCTTGCACTCTCACATGATGTAAATCTGCATATTGTAAACAGCACATGTGGAAATACACAAACCAAGATCCAATCCACCTCTATAAATTAATGCAAAACACACATGATCTACAGCATAGAGACAGCCAGTCAAGCTTATTCCACTATACGACGACTATTATCTTGTTTGAACAAACACATTCCATGCATCTCATGAGCAACCCATAACTACAGCTTAAGGCTGATCATCCAAAGAAGACGGTATATAGCACCGAACCCTATGTAAAGACCAATACACCATCAGCATTGTCAATTTTGCAAGTTCAGAGAAATGGAGATCAAAAGGAAGAAAAAAGATAATGTTTGAGTATTGAAATCGACATTCTTTAACATCCACATCAACCACCTACCAAAATTCTAAAGGCATAGCTGGCCCCCAATACGGATAAACGAGAGATGCACTAAGTTGGTGACTAGCATAATAATAGTCTAATAATATTGAATCCTCACAGTATAAGCTTGTTTAGATGTGCTTTCCTACACATGTGATACATGATACATCAACAACCAGGTGTACAGTTGACAGATAAGAGGTTCAACACATCGCTGCGGGTGTGACACAAAAATAAAGCGAGGAGCTTCTAGATTGTTGGAGAAACAAGGGGAAAAAAAAATTGCCTACAATATTATACTCCCTCCGTTCACTTTTACTTGTCACTATTTGACTTGCCACACCCATTAAGAAAATAATTATAGATATAGGTATTTTACCACACTATCCCAATTAAATGTTTAGTATTAGGTTTTGAAAAGAGATTTGGAAAATAGTATTTAATGCAAAAAAAAAATTGTTTTTTCTTGATATGTCAAAAGTGACAAGTAAAAATGAAAATCTATTTTAGGAATAAGTGACAAGTAAAAGTGATTGGAGGGAGTATTTATGAGCAGATACACAAATTGGCTTGATGTTAGACGTCCTAAGAAATTATTTCAGCAATGTAAAATGCTTCCCCAAGATTAAGCCCACCTCCACGAGAGAGGGAACAGGAATAACAAAACCAGAAAGTTAGGATTACATTACTAATTTCAAAAAAAAAACAAAACCAGAAAGTTAGGAAAGATAGTAGGTATGATGGAGTGATGGTTAGACAGGTTCTCGTATTAAAATGATGAAAGATATAATGGGGTGTTTATAAGGGTAGGAAATATGTTCATTGAGGAAACGAAATAGAAATCAATCCATGAGTAGTGTCGTTGGAATAAAAAGACAATCACAAAAAAAAAAAAAACTAATTTGGAACATTTTCTCCAAAAGATTGTGGATAATTGCACATCAAAAAAGATTGCTTCTACTAGCACAAATAAAAAGTAAGTGGTGTCACTCAGCAGACAAAGGTGTGGCAACACAAATCTCAAGGACATTATCACCCCTGAATTGGCAACAGAAAAGTAGGCAAAAAAATTGAACAATTTCTAGGAATTCAATGCTCAGAGGAGAATCTCAGTACTCTTAACTACCGTGAGGAAAAAGAAGAGAGTAAAACTTCCCCTAACAGTTATCGAAAACTAAAAATTTGGAGACTCCAAAATTATGAAGAAACAGTAGAAAAGTAATTTTCTGGAATGTTTTGCTTGAAAAATTTCAAAAAAGAATGATCCGAATAGTAGTCAGAAGAACAATGCCTCCAAAATGATGAATGAAAGAGACACGTAGTCATCAAAGCAGTCACCAAATACAAGCATTGTGGTGAGAATGGTCCAGAGAGATAGAGAATAGGAAACTTACAAAAGAATAAAAGACTTCAATCTGACAGGTTGCATAACGCATAAGACCACCACAGATAGACGGAAGTTATTTAAGCCACTAAGAAGACTGTAGAGGTTCAAGTACTATTTGAAAAGAGACAGAAAGAAAAAGTTACTTGTTGAAATTGGTCTATTAACAACTTAAAGAAGACTCCTTGTATAAGAATTTGAACATCATGAAACAAGGGAGTGTATATTTCACAGTGTTAAAGGGAGAGAAGAGGGCAAATGCTAAACAAGAAGCAACAACACACGTACCTGGAATATTCGCATTAAGGAGTGGCCTTAACAATAATTACTGGACACTGTGCATGGTTTGTGCAGTAGTTGCTTACACTCCCCAGAAACATCCTGTTTAAATTTTAAATTGGTGAAATACACGTCTCTGTTAAAGAAGTGATCATGTATGATCTAATAACTATATAATCTGGTGAAAAATACTTCTAGACTTCAGATTGGAAATAAACAACACAATTAAATAAAGATCCATATCCATCAATTACAGATTTTCTGTTAATGGTCAAAGTACAATTTCAGAAACAAGTATAAATGAAGTTGAAGCCAGAGGCAAAGAGACCTTTTCTGTAGCAGGCTGAATAGAAACCCACTTGCCTCCACAACTGCAGCTCTTAATTTATTACTCATTTACTTGTTGCCAGCTCTACTTAGTCTATGAATAGAACTGTAAATTAAGGCACATTTTTATCAGCAGTACTTCATTTAAGATGGTTCTAACTTTCTGATGAAGTTTAAGATACCTAATTAAGTAACTTATCAACAAACAAAAAAGTACATAACAGAGCAACTTCCTCATTGATTTTCTAAAAAAAACAACACTTTAAGTGATTGCCTCCAGATGATATCATCATTCCACGATAAAATAACACATATTAACTGCTATATGCCTGGATATGAGGGAGCTGCGAATTCTAGGCCGCATTAAAGACCTTTTAGGACCATAGCCAATTCGAAAAGTAGATACAAAGGGAAACTACACCAGTAAGAGTTAAGCAGGGTAAGAATATGCTTCCTTCAAAAATTTCCACTAAAGTAAATTTAATGCTTAACTAATGAAATTGTGTTGGAATTACCAATACAACAAGGGGTTCAGCTCCATCTGTTTTTTTTTTTTTTATAACCGAGAAATCCATCTGTGATGGCCGCCCTTTAGACAAATCACAGCCTTCTAAACTCAGTGGATAATGGGCCCGTCCCTCTACCCTTCTCCACTTAAATACCGGGCTTCGCTTCGCATGGTGTGGGGCTTGAACCTGCGACCTAAGTCACAAATCCTCCACCTTTTGCCACTCGAGCTAGGCCTTGGGGGCCATCTACTATCTGTTTTAGCTATACAAGCTTATACTAAATTGCCATTTTTTGGTATCCACAGTCTATTGCAGCATTTTGAACAGTTAGTAATTGGTAATCAATCAATATATCAATTAGCTACACCTCAGTCTAAAACTAGTCAGGTCAACTGTATGAATCCCCTGCAACAATTTTTATATTATTCGAGAAAATTTCATGCCAATACTAAATAATTTGACTTCAGAACAAATTAGGGGTTCCTTAAAAATTAAAGGTTCTCTAAATCTCTCACACATCCAAAAAGACCCCTGAAGAAACAACAAACTTAATGCAAGTATAACAATGACAACTACCATTACTCTAGAGACCAACAAGCTAGTTTTAGAGATACATCATCTCACAAAAATCTCTCTTTTTCAACGACAACATGAAATCATCTACAAGCATTAGCAGGTCAGCAGCACAAAAGCAGGTTTCTACTCATGCTAAATGGAATTGTTGATTCCTGTGATTGATTCACAAGAATGGCATATAAGCAACTAGTCGCATCTTCAAAGGGCAATTTTAGAATAATGTCCTAAGGATTGCACATAAAGTATGATGCTAGCTAAGTGTTTCTCCTCTTTCACACGTACTAGGAAAGGAAAAAGCTCTTGCAGTTGGATGAGAAAAGCAACTAAAGTTAATGCTTGTTAAGCAACATATATGCCTTAAAATTTAGGAACAATGAGCTAGTTGAATCATGTGAGCATTCTCATAGAAGCATTAGGCCATCAGTTAACCACAATATTCAGGTTGCTTTGCTGACTAAAGTGGTGGAGATCCTAAACTACATCCACTTACTGAGATGCTCAAAATATTTAGACTACAGAACTGTTCAGAATAATGTTAAAAACAACTGATTTACGACCTCAACAAAACTCATGCTCATTACATGATGAATCAGTGTTGTCAAAGGCACGCTTAAGCCCTAAAGCGAGTCTCAAAACATGTTGAGCACTTCATATCGCTTAATGTGTGGTTCAATGTCGTCATCAAGGTTCTAAGGCATACTTTCCTTGCCAATGAGCCTCCTCTGAAGAGGCGACACTAAACAATTGATTTCACTTTATCGTAAAAAAAATCCAATTTTTTGTTCATATATTTGTCCTACATACTTATAATTACTAGTATTGACTAAACATGTTTAATTTTGTATTATTTCTCACTTCGCACATCTTTTCATTAAAGCCCCACACTTTATTTGCGCTTAATGCCCCAATGGACATTAGAGCTTTTTTGCGCATTTTTGCTTTTGATAACACTGTGTTGAATGCAAAACCATCTACACATGCCTTAGGTAAAGAGTGTCATCTAGTCAGAGTAAATCAACAACAGCAACATCCATCAGGTTGAGAATTTGTACCTTTTAATGGGGCCAAAAGCACGGGAACCCATCACTAGCAAATCAGCATTCATTTCTTCAACAGCATCACAAATTTTCTCCTTTGGATCCCCAATAACTACTTGGGTCTTAACGTTTGCCTGATACAGATAGACACCGTTCCCCATCAATTAAAATAGAAAGATAGAACACCAATAATGATTTCTGTGACGCCATATTAGGCTTCTATTTTGCTTTCTAATATATTTTAGCATTTCCCAGTGACTGAATTACCAGCATGTCATATCAAAGGTTACAAATTGAAAACATATTAAGCAAAACATCAATGTCATTGCAGCAATATGGATGCCACGGTGGACTCAAATTGCTAAAGCAGGAAACGTAAAGAAAACATAAAGTAGATCAGAAGCACCAATCAACACCAAGATCACTAGTACGTTCTCTTAGAATTTATATTGCACTCTTTTTATTTTGAAAAGGCACCAAAATTATGATATCAATACATTTCTATACAAGTTCCTTAATTTCTTATATAGTTCAAGATCGTTAAAATATGCAAATCTAAACTTTGATGAGATGCTTTCTCTATAAAACTACCTGTTCAACCATTACTTTGATATTTTCTTCCACTATAATTACCACAAAATGAACTCTCCATGTGCAGGGACGGATTCATTATTTAAGCTTTATGGGTTCAAACTTTTTAGGCTCTTAGCATTGAACCCGCTATATTTTTTAAGTTATGAGTTCATATCTACTAGTTATTGCATTTTCAGTACATTTTTACACAAAAATTTATACTCCGCATCAAAAGTACTGGTAATGAATTGCATCCAGCTGCCCATAGCGTCGTATATAAAACGAGACGAAGTGAACATGTAAGCTGTGTAACTTCAAGATAACATTCATATATAGCAAACGGGAAGTGAGAAGGATTATCAAGCTCACATTTTTATTAGCACAAATCTCAAGAGCATGGTCTAAAATGGCCTGTGTGATCCGCTTTTGATGTGCCTCAATTGCAGCAGTAAACGCAGGCACCTCAATATCACCTGCTAATCTCCACAATTTAGTACTAATTAACAAAAAAAATGTGAATTCCAAACAATCAAATCAATCAATATATCCATTCCATAATTCAAAACATACCCATCAAGCAAAATGAACGAAAACACAAAAACAACAAGAAATTAGACTTAACTGGGGCCACCAAAGGGGATAGCTCCAGGGTTAAGACCAGCAGCGATAGACGGCGGAGATTGAACATGGAGAATCACAATGGACCCTTGTGATTCTTGAGAATCGGGATCATGGGGTTTGAGCTTAATGTTGTCTAGAGTCCAATTCAAGGCGTTCATGCTCTCTTCACTGCCGTCGACGGAAACGATCACACAGTTCAACTTTCCGGCCATGGTTTTTGTTTCTGTTAATTCGACCAAATTAAGAACTGGGTAATACTTAGAATAAAAAAAAAAAGTTGTGAAAATTATAGTACTTATGAAGAAATGAAACCGACTGTATTGATTTGATCCTGAAATTCTTCGAGTTTGTGGTTAGTTTTTAGCTGCAAGCTTCAACAAGCCATCGTTTTCATCTCTTTCGTGTCAGCATGGTAGGATGTACAAAAATATATCCTCTAATATTAGTATTAGTTATATTAAAATTATTTCTAAAAAAATTACTCTTCTTTACGAATATTACGGTGGAAAAGATGTAGAAATTTTTTTTAATTGGAGAATTATGTATTTAAGAATTTAAAATTATTTGTATTACTAATATCATGTATTTTGATGAGATATATCAAATAAAATATTAGGAATACGCAAAGCTAATGCATATATTATTTTTTCTAATATATTTTACCATCAAATAACTCATTAGTGGTAAATTTGTGATGGACATTCATCTCGTTCCTTTTTTGAGAGAGAGAATCATAGTAAGGGACGAAATCGAGTTTTTTTGGGCTTATGCAAAGATTTTCCAATGGGATAATTGACTTCCTCCCTTCATCCTTCTATTTAAGTAGGAGGAAAAAGATTTTTATTCTTTATGGTTTGAATTCAACTTATACGTTAAAGAAAAGTGTAAGAATGAAAAAATCTCATAAAGAATAACAAAATCAAATCTACCACAAATTTCAAGGGGAACATGATATTTCTAGATTTAATAACTAATAAAAAGTTGAGCAATTTTCACATATACCAAACATAAAAATTATATTTGTATGTTATAGCTATAGTTTGCATAATTGCGCTCCGTAGCAAACTTTATGTTTGCTATGGCTATTAATATGTATATTTCGCTATACATATATACAAAAGAAGCAATTGTATAATCTGTTTCGGTATACATATACAAAATAATCAATTGTATAAAGCGAGAAAAAGAGAAAGACAAGAAAATTAGGCAGGGGAAAATTTGTATTTGTATAATCATAAGTGTATAGGACGAAAATATATGTATTTGTATTTGTATATACAATTTTCTCTCGCTTTATACAAACACAACGCAATGTATACATTTTGTTTATATAAAGTGAGAGAAGCGAGTGAGAGTGGCGAGCGCGATCTGAAAGAGTGGCCAGTGAGATATGAGAGAGGGGAACGAAAATATATGTATATATAACAATTTTTTTCTCGCTTTATACAAACACAAATGCATTTTATACATTTGTGTTTGTATAAAAGCGAGAGAGGCGAGGGAGAGATTGGCGAGCGAGAAACCTAGGGAGAAAGGCGAATGGCAACAATTTGCTACGGGTTACAATTAAATCAAACTGTGTTTATGACATTTAATTTGAATTAATAGTTTGTTATTATATACAATTTTCCCTAAAAAGTAAAAAGTTCTTGTATGGATATGTTACAATGGGCCGTGACATACACAAAAAAAGGAAAACTTTCGCAAATAGCCACTAAATAATGCTCCATAGCTGTAGTTTGTTAATTACAATTTATAGCTACATGTTAGAGGGAGGAGAGAGGCGAGCGAGAGAGGGAAGAGAGTGGAGAGAGGCTAATTGTGTTTGTATATTTGTCATATAATTGTATATGTATATGTATAATTTGTATTTGTACATGTATAAGAGAGGCGAAAGGAGAGAGGCACACATAATTATAGCTAAAAAGAGGTTGCGAGTGGTAATTAATTCAAACTATAACTATATTAACTAATTAACTAGTATATATTTACTTATCCGCGTAATTTCCCTCAAAAAATATAGAGTTCCATATTCATTTGGACTTGTAACCTCAATATGGGCTTCTTCTTTCAGTGTCAAGAGGGCTCTTTTAGCCCAAAACATTTTAGTACCAGCCCACTCTGTCTCTTTAACAATTCTTTTTCTTTTGATATCCACTATTCAAGATACATACGTAGTTTAATTTGCTTAATTTGAATTTGTGTCAGATAATTTTTTTAAAAGAAGTAGGTTTTCGAATCTAAAGGTATGTACAAACACCTTTTGTTGGTTATTTTTTTTTAATTATCTTTGTTTTATTTGTTGTTTTGGAGCAAACAGGCAAGGAGAAAAAGAAAGAAGTAACATATTCCCTAGGATCAAGAATCCAACCCCAATAAAATAAAAGTAGTCTCTTTCTTTGATGTATTATACAACAATGTCTCTTAAGCACATCTTCACCACAAAGCAACATACACATGCACTTTAATGCAAACCTAGTACTATGTTTAACCGCAATATTGTAGTCTGATTAAATTTAATTTGCGTATTGCAAGGGTCATTTCTAGGAGCGACGTTTTCAATAAGATATTTGCTCAAACTCGAAACTCTAATTGATGTTGAATTCTTTTGATCAATAAATTTGTTTGTTTCAACTTTCAACCCATGCCCATTGGCTTCAAAACCAAGGTAGCTTTTCCATGTACTACCATCAAACTTTCATCTATATTTACAAACTGTTTGAATATTACAATGTTCAATTTGTGTTTATTCCAACTTCACATTTTTTTAATCCACAAGATAAAGTTTTGAATTATTATACTTGAGAAAAATAAATTATGTAATCAATTGTCACATCAGTCGGCACAAATGTGACGTTTATGATAAAGTTTTAGTTATGGTCAGCACTATTATCAAGCTGCAACTTTTAAAAAATTATAAAAATGAAATAATTTCAAGTCTATAACGATAGAGTTGTTAGTACTTATTTATTCTCAATCAAATAATACTGATTCAAGCCTTGGGTATAGGAAGCCTTTGAAATGTACTCCAAATACAAATTTAAATTTAATGAGGTTCTAATACAAATATCAATCACCGAATGAGAATACAGAAGAAATAACAACATGTCAAATTTGGAATTTCCATTGGTGCGTACGTCCTTTCAAGTGTTTGTCCGTCAAAATAGAAGAAGCATAGACAAACTTTATTAAAAGTCTTTGTGTACATATTCAACGCAAAGACCTATAGAAGCAAAGCATGTTTAATTTTGCCTTTCTTCTATGAGCACTCTTCTTCTATGTAGTATTTCTTTTTCTCATCAATGTGTTAGGTATCTTCCTTCTTCAAGCCAACTTCTTTGTGGCTTATGTTTGTGAGCACAATATATACATAATAAACTATGTACTATTAAAAATTATTAATAACAAGAAAGACAATGAACAATTTGGTGTGTGGGAGATGCATGCAACTTGCAACCACAACAAGCATGGATTGTGACACATCAAGATCTTTTTTTAAAAATAAAAATAATAGTGTCTGGATCAGCTTGCGTACATCTCAATTAATTTTACGAGGTACTCGTTACCTTCAATCGATATAATGTATTAGTAACTCTCCATCCATCAAGACTTGAATAGCTAGATGGAGAAAAATCGACTAGTATCTTTGTCTCTGCTGAAAATTGAACCTGAAATAAAACCTCAATTTTCAAACATTTTACTAATCACTACATCACGCCTTATTTCCATTACTTATTTGAGGAGGAAAACATGTCTTACCCTTGTTATTTGAGGTCTAAGATATATTTGGTAGGTGTATTGAAAGTATTAAGATTTGAAATTAATGAATATATTTGGTAATATTTATATTTTAAGGACAATTATGTACTTGAAAGTTGAAACATATTGTTGTTTACTTAACTTATAGATTCACTTGCCCACTCTATAATTAATTTTAATAATTGAATTAAACTTTAAAGGAGACTCGTGGTGAGCAAATAGTAACATGCTTGTGAGAATCAAATTATTGTAATTTGAATGAATTACCCACTAATTAATTCTCACTCTCTAACCTACTCAATTATGAGATCTAGGAAGCATTTGACATGGAGCAAAATATTTTCTTGAAGAAATCGTGAATTTTTAAGTTTATTTTTAGTATTTTATAAGTAAATAAAAAGTATTAATTTAAAATATTTATATATAATTTAGGAAAATGCTACTGGGGAGTGGAGAGACAGGGGTCATGGAGTGGTGGGTTGTGGGGGGTGGGCAAGGAGCGGAGCCAGCTTTGAATTAGGGGGGTCGGATGAACCCCTTCGTCAGAAATTATAGTACTATTTATATACGGTTATAACTATTTTTTATGAATATATCGTAGATGTTGAACCCTTTCAGCTAGTTCATGTGTTAAGTTTTTCATATTTTAAACTTTTTTTTTGTAAAAATCCTGATTTTGCCCACTGGATTGGAGGTGTTGGAGTGGGAAAGAGACAATGAACTTGAAATGTCACTGGTGAAACTCGTTTTTCTTATTCCTATTTTTCTAATTTAAAAAAACTTGTCTTTCAACAACAAATATCCTCCAATAATATCTGGACTAACCATATATATGAAGGAAAATTATTTTCTTCCATTTTATTAAATTTCAGTTTTGTTGCAAATGTAACAATCACATGAAAGAAAAATATGATAAAATAAATATTCTATTTTACAATTTTAAATGTACATTTTTTTTGATAATTTTAAATGTACATGCGTGTGCTGTACATAGATACTTTTCCTAAATTGATTGCGTAATAGTACAAATTAAAGTTTTAACATACTATCGAAAATTATTCTTGATATTGACCCCCACTACTTTTTTTTTTCTTTTATAAAAAAAGTAATTTAATTATAAGTATATATATGTATGCCACTTCAACATTTTGAAGAGTTATTTTATTATATGGCCCTAATTTTGAAGAGCTAGTTATTATTTTGGCTAATAACATAATTGAAAAGTTCATGAAATTGACCCTCTGCCCACTTTTTTCCCCCTTATATACCACCTCAATGTTTTGAAAAGCTAGTTATATATTGTGGTGAAAATAACATTTTTTCCCTTATATTCTAAAAAAATCTAAATAGATCATTTTCATGTTTTGATGTTTCAATTTAAAAGATACATAAATCATTTAATAAAGGTGTTAATTAAGTGGACGCTAAATATATGTTAGACCATTCAAAACATAATATCAAAGATTGTAGTGTGATAAGATAGAGTTTTCTCACTTTCACGCAAAAATTTGTATTCGCCCGAGAAAAGGTCGTGATAGAAAACAATTTTTTTTCTCTTCTTCAAATTCCCTTTCCTTCACTATAAATTGATTAGCCCATCTCAATATTGATTTATTATTGAAATAATTTGAATAAAAGATTTTTTGTCAATAGTTTTGTTGTATAGATTTACAATGTGTTATTAAATAAC